TATCCGTTTTCTAGCCCTGTAACTATCCGTTTTCTAGCCCTGTAACTATCCGTTTTCTAGCCCTGTAACTATCCGTTTTCTAGCCCTGTGACTATCCGTTTTCTAGCCCTGTGACTATCCGTTTTCTAGCCCTGTAACTATCCGTTTTTTAGCCCTGTAACTATCCGTATTCTAACCTCGTGACTATCAGTTTTCTAGTTTTTATGGACGCGGTCTTGTTGAACCGAACCTTAACACACATTCCTAAAATGAATCTTGATTCTTTTTTATTTTTGGTTTGTTGACACTAGCCATTACATGATTACTTTTTGTAGTCCTCAGACCACGTCACTTGACCTGGCTGGCTTTCTCCTGGCTTTCCTTCCTGACCTGACTGGCTTTCTCCTGGCTTTCTTTCCTGACCTGACTGGCTTTCCTTCCTGACCTGGCTGGCTTTCTCCTGGCTTTCCTTCCTGACCTGGCTGGCTTTCTCCTGGCTTTCCTTCCTGACCTGACTGGCTTTCCTTCCTGACCTGACGGGCTTTCTCCTGGCTTTCCTTCCTGACCTGACTGGCTTTCTCCTGGCTTTCCTTCCTGACCTGACTGGCTTTCTCCTGGCTTTCCTTCCTGACCTGACTGGCTTTCTCCTGGCTTTCCTTCCTGACCTGACTGGCTTTCTCCTGGCTTTCCTTCCTGACCTGACTGGCTTTCTCCTGGTTTTCCTTCCTGACCTGACTGGCTTTCTCCTGGCTTTCCTTCCTGACCTGACTGGCTTTCTCCTGGCTTTCCTTCCTGACCTGACTGGCTTTCTCCTGGTTTTCCTTCCTGACTTGGCTGGCTTTCTCCTGGCTTTCCTTCCTGACCTGACTGGCTTTCTCCTGGCTTTCCTTCCTGACCTGACTGGCTTTCTCCTGGCTTTCCTTCCTGACCTGGCTGGCTTTCTCCTGGTTTTCCTTTCTGACCTGACTGGCTTTCTCCTGTTTTTTTTCCTGGCCTGACTGGCTTTCTCCTGACTTTCCTTCCTGACCTGACTGGCTTTCTCCTGGCTTTCCTTCCTAACCTGACTGGCTTTCTCCTGGTTTTCCTTCCTGACCTGACTTTCTCCTGGCTTTCCTTCCTGACCTGACTGGCTTTCCTTCCTGACCTGACTGGCTTTCTCCTGGCTTTCCTTCCTGACCTGACTGGGTTTCTCCTGGTTTTCCTTCCTGACCTGACTTCTGGCTTTCGTTCCTGACCTGACTGGCTTTCTCCTGGCTTTCCTTCCTGACCTGACTGGCTTTCTCCTGGCTTTCCTTCCTGACCTGACTGGCTTTCTCTTGGCTTTCCTTCCTGACCTGACTGACTTTCTCTTGGTTTTCCTTCCTGACCTGACTGGCTTTCTCCTGGCTTTCCTTTCTGACTGGCTTTCTCCTGGCTTTTTTTCCTGGCCTGACTGGCTTTCTCCTGACTTTCCTTCCTGACCTGACTGGCTTTCTCCTGGCTTTCCTTCCTGACCTGACTGGCTTTCTCCTGGCTTTCCTTCCTGACCTGACTGGCTTTCTCCTGGCTTTCCTTTCTGACCTGACTGGATTTCTCCTGGCTTTTTTTCCTGGCTTGACTGGCTTTCTTCTGACTTTCCTTCCTGACCTGACTGGCTTTCTCTTGGCTTTCCTTCCTAACCTGACTGGCTTTCTCCTGGTTTTCCTTCCTGACCTGACTGGCTTTCTCCTGGCTTTCCTTCCTGACCTGACTTCTGGCTTTCTCTCTTCTCTCGCTCGCTAATTTATAGTGAGTCAGGACAGACCGAAACATCGTCTGAATTTTTCTCTTCAAATTGTCAATTGTAAACTAAGGTGAGTTGTGTCCAGGTGAGTTAATATTGTACCAGGGTAGTAAATCTTTGTGTCCAGGTGAGTTGTGTCCAGGTGAGTTGTGTCCAGGTGAGTTGTGTCCAGGTGAGTTAATATTGTACCAGGGTAGTAAATTTTTGTGTCCAGGTGAGTTGTGTCCAGGTGAGTTGTGTCCAGGTGAGTTAAGAGGCGGATTATATCATAAAAATCATTCACTAGAGGGAGTACTGGAGACTCGATCCTCCGTTCGCCTTGATATCCAGGAGTAGACATTCTTCATTCTTGTGTTTAATGAATATTTGTGGCTTTGTGGTTTATAAGTCTGTAAACCAGGCTGGTGTTTTATGTATGATTCCTGTTTTATTTCATCTATTATTTTTTTTTTGAAAGACGTTGATAATTCTCTTTTCGATTACTGATTCCCTATTTTCGTTGTTTATTCTCCATTTATCTATTTCTGATGTTCCCCATTTCCGATGTTTATTCTCCATTTATCTATTTCTGATGTTCCCCATTTCCGATGTTTATTCTCCGTTTATCTAATTTCCATGTTGCCCATTTCCCTGTTTCTGATGTTCATTCCCCATTTCCTTATTCCCTGTGTTGATTTCTTTCTGTTGTCGATGTTTATTCTTTCGCATATTTTTAATGTTATTCATTTGCATGTTTGAAATGTTTATTCCCCATTTCCTCTGTATTTATTCCCTATTTTTTCCCGATGTTTATGCATCTATTCTCGACGTTTCCATTTCATTTTGAAGTTTATTCCACATGTGATTATTCTCGATGTTTATTCCCCATTTACTTTTAATGTTTATTCATTTCGTTATTTTAATCCTATTTGCGTATCGATGTTTATTCCCCATTTTTTATACTTTACATTTTCTCTATCGATGTAATGTTATTTCCCTAACGATGTTCCCTATTTTTCCCTATCGATATTCCTTATTTTTCCCTATCGATATTCCCTATTTTTTCCCTATCGATGTTCCCTATTTTCTTTAGAACTTGTTTGAATATCGATTTTTTTTATAATTTTTATAGTTTGCCTTGATTCGCATTTCGATGTTTATTCCCATTTTTTCTTGTGCATGCCGTTTTCTTTAACCTTTTTTTCGGTTATTTTGCATGTCTCTCTGGACTCGTCTGTGCATCGCCGATGTTCACGTTTGTTACATATGTTCTTCCCTTGTTCACCGTTTTTTTTATCGTGCTATGTTGAATGTTATTCCCTTGTTTATCTCTCTATATCTTGTTATACAACGTGTTCTTGTTATTCCCTTGTTCACCTCTCCATATGTTATACTGTGTGTTCTTCCTGTTATTCGCTTGTTCTCCTTTATATCCTGTTATACTGCATGTTCTTCCTGCTCTTGCCTTGTTCACTGCTTTATAACATGCTATGTTGAATGTTCTTGCCTTGTTCACTGCTTTGCATCCTGTTATACTGCATGTTCTTCCTGTTGTCCGCTTAATATCCTGTTATATCGCATGTTCATTCCGTTCTCTCCCTGTTCACCGCTTTACATCCTGTTATATCGCATGTTCTTCCCGTTCTCTCCCTGTTCACCGCTTTACATCCTGTTATATCGCATGTTCTTCCCGTTCTCTCCCTGTTCACCGCTTTACATCCTGTTATATCGCATGTTCTTCCCTTTCTCTCCCTGTTCACCGCTGTACATCCTGTTATATCGCATGTTCTTCCCGTTCTCTCCCTGTTCACCGCTGTACATCCTGTTATATCACATGTTCTTCCCGTTCTCTCCCTGTTCACCGCTGTACATCCTGTTATATCGCATGTTCTTCCCGTTCTCTCCCTGTTCACCGCTGTACATCCTGTTATATCGCATGTTCTTCCCGTTCTCTCCCTGTTCACCGCTGTACATCATGTTATAATCGCATGTTCTTCCCGTTCTCTCCCTGTTCACCGCTGTACATCATGTTATATCGCATGTTCTTCCCGTTCTCTCCCTGTTCACCGCTGTACATCCTGTTATATCGCATGTTCTTCCCGTTCTCTCTCCCTGTTCACCGCTGTACATCCTGTTATATCGCATGTTCTTCCCGTTCTCTCCCTGTTCACCGCTGTACATCCTGTTATATCGCATGTTCTTCCCGTTCTCTCCCTGTTCACCGCTGTACATCCTGTTTATATCGCATGTTCTTCCCGTTCTCTCCCTGTTCACCGCTGTACATCCTGTTATATCGCATGTTCTTCCCGTTCTCTCCCTGTTCACCGCTGTACATCCTGTTATATCGCATGTTCTTCCCGTTCTCCTTCCCTGTTCACCGCTGTACATCCTGTTATATCGCATGTTCTTTCCGTTCTCTCTCCCTGTTCACCGCTGTACATCCTGTTATATCGCATGTTCTTCCCGTTCTCTCCCTGTTCACCACTGTACATCCTGTTATATCGCATGTTCTTCCCGTTCTCTCCCTGTTCACCGCTGTACATCCTGTTATATCGCATGTTCTTCCCGTTCTCTCCCTGTTCACCGCTGTACATCCTGTTATATCGCATGTTCTTCCCGTTCTCTCCCTGTTCACCGCTGTACATCCTGTTCAATGATACAATAATTTTAATTTTCCGTCAAAAATTGTGTTATTGTGTTGTAAATTTTTTACTTATAACAACAATTGTTCTCCTGCACACCGCTTGTGTTTATTATCAATTAATACATTCATAAACATTATGTTTTATATTAATGCATTTTCTGTTTTGAATGTTAAAACACGTACTAACTAAAACATGTTGTTCTGTGGTTAATGGCACGTGATCGTGGTGGTTAATGGTCAATTATGTTGTTGCTGGGCTTCGCTGAATGGTTAATGTGTGTGTGTGTGTGTGTGTGTGTTTTCGTGTGTGTGTGTGTGTGTGTTTTCGTGTGTGTGTGGTTGTGTTTGTGTGTATGTGGTTGTGTATGTGTGTGGTTGTGTATGTGTGGGGTTGTGTATGTGTGGGGTTGTGTTTGTGTGGTGTGTGTGGGTGTGGTTGTGTGTGTGTGTGGGGTGTGGTTGTGTGTGGGTATGCTTGTGTGTGTGTGGTTATGTGTGTGTGTGTGGTTGTGTATGTGTGTGTGTGATTGTGTATGTGTGTGTGTGTGGTTGTGTATGTGTGTGTTGTGTGTGTGTGTGTGTGTGTGTGTGTGTGTGTGTGTGTGTGTGTGTGTGTATGTATGGTGAGGGGTACAGCAAGCTGATAACCTAACACACAAGTGGTTCGAGGCTTCTTACACTACCCCAACCTTCTGTGATCACTGTGGTTCCATGATGCATGGTGTGTGGAACCAAGGAATGAAGTGCAAGAGTGAGTACTACCATACTACTACCATAATGCTGCCTTCACACTCAAATACTGTCTTGACACCATGACACTACCACCTCTAATCATACCACTACCATAGTAGGATTACACAACCACCATACTAGTGTGATGTTACCTTACTACCATACTTGTACGTGATCAAGGGAGCAGCAGCAGTAGGATGAAGGGACGTGCCTCGATGTTACTGCAAGGATCTTCATCCAAGGAATTGGAGCTTCTTTCCCTTAGATCAACCCATTGAATAGACTAATCCATATCCATCTACCATTATCCATCTACCATATTTCCTTACCCAGTCCTTGTTTTTTACGCAATCTTTCCTATCTTATTCTGCCCTTCTTATGCATTCCTCCCACCTGTGATATACCTGTGGCCAGTTTCGATGGTTTTTCTGCTCTACCAGCCCTGTTTTTAGCCATGCTTGTCAAGCCAGGCTGTTGCTATTATAACAGCCTCACCAACAAGAAACGCCAAGTGGTACTAAGTGGCGAGTTATGTGGGTGGCGAGTTATGTGGGTGGCGAGTTATGTGGGTGGCGAGTTATGTGGGTGGCGAGTTATGTGGGTGGCGAGTTATGTGGGTGGCGAGTTATGTGGTTGGCGAGTTATGTGGTTGGCGAGTTATGTGGGTGGCGAGTTATCTGAGTGGCTAGACTTGATCAGGGTTGCTCAGGGATCGGTGTTGCCACAACTCGCATACTGAGCCTTATGACAATGTTTCGGTCCGATTTGCCCATTTAAAAGTCAATTTCGTGTATTGTTCCAGTCACTGTATTGTGCCCCTTTGTTCTTTAAGGACCTTGAGGTAGAGCGGACATCTTAAATAGCAAAATTCGTGGATGAGACAACAATTTGAGAAAATGCAGCGTGTTATGACCAGGTTGTCGCCGTGGTCGCAGACCTGGAAGATGAGTTTGTGTGACAAGTAATGCATAATGCATATAATCTCTAGAATGGCAACAAATTAACAGCAACAAGAGAATTAAAGAATATTGAAGTCATCATAAGCAACCCATGTCAAGAGTACCAAACAGTGGTTGTCTGTGAACAGCATAACACTGTCTCTCTGTGAACAGCATAACACACTGCCTCTCTGTGAACAGCATAACACACTGCCTCTCTGTGAACAGCATAACACACTGCCTCTCTGTGAACAGCATAACACACTGCCTCTCTGTGAACAGCATAACACACTGCCTCTCTGTGAACAGCATAACACACTGCCTCTCTGTGAACAGCATAACACACTGCCTCTCTGTGAACAACATAACACACTGCCTCTCTGTGAACAGCATAACACACTGCCTCTGTGAACAACATAACACACTGCCTCTCTGTGAACAGCATAACACACTGCCTCTCTGTGAACAGCATAACACACTGCCTCTGTGAACAACATAACACACTGCCTCTCTGTGAACAGCATAACACACTGCCTCTGTGAACAACATAACACACTGCCTCTCTGTGAACAGCATAACACACTGCCTCTCTGTGAACAACATAACTAACACGGTGCTAGAGTTCGTGGTTTGACACTTCTACAAAACACCAGGCACCATAAACCTACAAAACACCAGGCACCATAAACCTACAAAACACCAGGCACCATAAACCTACAAAACACCAGGCACCATAAAACTACAAAACACCAGGCACCATAAACCTACAAAACACCAGGCACCATAAACCTACAAAACACCAGGCACCATAAACCTACAAAACACCAGGCACCATAAACCTACAAAACACCAGGCACCATAAACCTACAAAACACCAGGCACCATAAACCTATAAAACACCAGGCACCATAAACCTACAAAACACCAGGCACCATAAACCGAAGGTAACTGGTAATAAACAAAAGAATCTAAAGTGGGTAAGTGGTAGCAGAATTGGGGTTACTGTATACACAGACCAGGCTTCGAGTCCCTATCCCTGCTTTTGTTATTCATATTGCCTTTCTGTAATGCGCTTGTTACATCGCATCTTTAATATGCTGTCCAGTTTTGATCTCCAAATTACATAAAAATATTAAAATATACTGGTAAGGGTAGAAATGAGAAGGGCAGCTAAGTTTGTACCATCACTAGGAGCACTGAGTCCCATGGCTAGGTTGGTAACACACTTGGCTCACATACTGATTGTCCGTAGTTCGATCTCCGGCCGGGTGGAAACGTTGGGCATGTTTCCTTACACCTACTGCACCTGTTTATCTAGCAGTAAGTAGTCAACTGGTGTGGGTGGCATCCTGGGGGATGGTAGTATACATTAGAGTCAGGCTTTGAGGTGAACTGAGGTAGGATAACAGCTTATCCTGTAAAATCGTTCTGTAAAAAAAGAAAAAAGTCTCGTGACTTCATTTTCTCTCTTAGTAAACTGAGGCTACAACGAGATCTCATTCAAACCTTCAAAGATATGGTAGTTTTGAAATTTGAAACTAATTTTATACCCTAATGATCTATTACTAAATGAAGGTTTGTGAAAAATATGACGATGTCTCGTCTTAAGTTATATAGATAATTCTCAAAATGGTTCCAGTGAGATACCTTTAGAAAGCCTCGTTTGATTGGCTTCAAAATATCACTATTTGAAGTGTAAAGTGAATCATTAACTTGAAACTGTGGAATGGAACTCAGTGTGTCTAGTTACCACACTAGCTTGTGTTAAGATTTTTACATGAACACAATTTTAGCGGAGTGGAACAAGCTACCTGCCGAGGCTGTAAGGGCGAAGACAATACAGTAATTAAGAAGCAGCGGAATAAGCACTTTGTAAATATACGAGTGTCCAAACTGTGGTCAGTGGTATCTGGTTATTCCCGTCCACTGCACCAAAGTATGCAGAAGTAAGACTAGTGATAACTAGAACTAGTGATAAGTTGAACCACTGGTACACTGCTCTGTGAGTGACAGTGGAATAATAGGACTAGTTACAGTAGCAACTGAGCCAGACAATAGAAGTTCTCGGTAGACCTGCCTTCCATCCACTTTATATCTCCTTTGAATTCAGTAGTTTTTCAATATTGTGTGTTATGCTTTTTATCTTGATCTTACTGAAGTAACCTGGAACAATAGTGAGAGTTACGTAGATTTGTACCAGAGTTTCGAGAAGGTGAGGTTAATGACAGTAGAAAGGCTATTCCAGACACCATTAAGAAAAAGGAAGATTAAAGTTGGATGAGGTGTTCCTTCTACAGATGAAGATAATCACAGAACTTCTCGGGAATGAAGAGAAATGAGAAGAAAGGAGAAGCAACACTGGTTAAAGAAATGGAAAACACTGAACTCGCTGAATAATTCAGAATCCAGCAGAGACAGAGGGATCAAAAACTCATTAATGAAATTGAAAGAAACTTAAAATACTTTTCTGAGATGCAAAATCCAGGGTAAACACAAAGTATTAAGCTCTTGCTTGAAGGAGATGGAACCTACACTGACGAAAACAAAGTGGTGAGTGAAACACTGAAGTCACAATACGACGAACCGTTAGTCACTGAAATTATTGATAACCCAAATAATTTGTTCATGAATGAGACTCAAAATTGTAAATATCTCCATAATTTCTAATATTCTCGAAGAAAACTCTGATAGCATTCCCAGGCCAAGCTGTCCCAGGCCAAGCTGTCCCAGGCCAAGCTGTCCCAGGCCAAGCTGTCCCAGGCCAAGCTGTCCCAGGCCAAGACTCTCGGAATTCCACATTCTTCATAAAATGCGAAACACACTCATAAGCCTAAAATATATGAGGACGGAAACTGAACACAAGAGTCATCCCACAGTCATTAAAGAAATCCATAAAGGAGGCAGTAAAGCAGTCGTACAAAAAAATTAAAGACACTAATGACGTCTCAAGTTATCAGAATCTTTGAGGAAGCTTTAAGAAGGAAGATTGCTAAACACATGGATCCACAACAGTTGCACAACCCAGAGCAACACGGTGTAGAGCAGGTCGCTCCTGCCTCTCACAGCTACTGGAGCGTTACAATATGGTCTTCAAAGCCCTGGAGGTCAAAATGCAAAGGTATCTTAGACTATTCAAAAGTCTTGGACAAGTGTGACCGTTGGGGAATTGCATAAAAATAATAACTAGAAAATTGGACAGATGGATATGTTTTCCATTTCTTTAATCAGTGTTTATTCTCGTTTTTCATTCCTGGGTAGTTCTGTGATCATCTTCAACTGTACGCTGTATAGCCCTTGTGGCTTAGCGCTTCTTTTTTATAATAATAATCTTCAACTGTAGAGGGAACATTTCTCGCCTTCCAACTTCCATCTTCTCTTTCTTATTTCTTATTGGTAACTGGAATCTGGAACATCTTTGTCATGGATCTCATCTCCAGACACTGATGCAGATCCACGTAACTCACACTGTCGTCGCAGCTTATTTCACTAAAGTCATCGTTTATGCTAGAGTTAATATATATTTTTTATGAAAATGAATTTGAGCACATTGATAAGTGTTGTGTTACTGAAGTACAGTGCTCTTGCAAGTCAAGAGAAAGAGGGAGAGTATAGGCAAGGAAGGAAGCGAGTGTGGGCGAGAAAGCAAGGAAGAGTGGACAAGAGAGACGGGGGAAGAGGGCGGATAATATTGTGTGTTTGAGGGAGAATTTATAGGAGACTTAGGGAGGAGGAGGAGATTGTAGGGAAAATTATGAGATTAGGGAGGAGTGAGGAGGGAGAGAGGAGTGAGGAGGGAGAGAGAGGAGTGAGGAGGAGAGAGAGGAGTGAGGAGGGAGAGAGAGGAGTGAGGAGGGGGAGAGTGAGGAGGGGGAGAGAGGAGTGAGGAGGGGGAGAGAGGAGTGAGGAGGGGGAGAGAGGAGTGAGGAGGGAGAGAGAGAGGAAGGAGGGAGAGAGAGAGGAGGAGGAAGAGAGAGGAGGGAGAGAAGTTCAGTGCTGTTTCAAGGATTTTCTGACGCGCATCAGTTTTTAGCTAAAATGTAAATACATATATACAACTTAAAAAATATAATATGAATTTGGCTACGTTTCCCATCAAAGGCAATTGTAGCAGAGAATCTCAGTTGAGAGGGAGGGAGAGAGGGTTAGGGGAGGGAGGATTGAGGGAGAGTGAGCGAGGGAGGGAAGAGCAAGTGAGGGAGGGAAGAGCGAGTGAGTGAGGGAGGGAGGGAAGAGCGAGTGAGTGAGGAAGGGAGGGAAGAGCGAGTGAGTGAGGAAGGGAGGGAAGAGCGAGTGAGTGAGGAAGGGAGGGAAGAGCGAGTGAGTGAGGAAGGGAGGGAAGAGCGAGTGAGTGAGGAAGAGGAGGGAAGAGCGAGCGAGTGAGGAAGGGAGGGAAGAGCGAGCGAGTGAGTGAGGAAGGGAGGGAAGAGCGAATGAGTGAGGGAGGGAGGGAAGAGCTAATGAGTGAGGGAGGGAAGAGCGAGTGAGGGAGGGAGGGAGGGAGGGAGGGAGGGAGGGAGGGAAGAGCGAGCGAGCGAGCGAGCGAGCGAGGGAGGAGTGAGGAAGGAGGGAGAAGTGAGTGAAGGAGAGGGTGGAGGGAGGGTGATGGGAACGAGAGTTTGGGAAATGGTAGGAGAAATGGATAAACATAGAAGGAAAGAGAGACAAGAGATGAGAGAAGTGGAGAATAATAAAAAATAAATGAGGGAGATGGAGAAACATGGAAGAAAAGAGAGGTGGAAGAAGTGAAGAAATATAGAGAACGAAGGAGAACAAACAGTAAAAACAAAGAGATACGTGGAAGGAAGAAAGTGGATAAGAGGTAAAAGACAGATGAAGGGAGAGGAAATATTACGTGAATTATGAAGGAGCCAGGGAGATGGAGGAGTGAGGCATGGAGATGGAGGAGGGGCAGGGAGGCATGGAGATGGAGGAGGGGCGGGGAGGCATGGGGATGGAGGAGGGGCGGGGAGGCATGGGGATGGAGGAGGGAGGGAGGAAAAGAAGGAAGGGAGACAGTCAGGACCATATAAGAGAAGACACAAATAAGGGCCAGTAAAAGCGAGCAGCGTTAATAAGAAGGATTTACGAAGACAGAATAAGAGGAAACTCGCAATAAAGGCTGCGAATGAAATAAAGAAGAGATAATAGCTTCTAGACAGTTTAGGTGTTTGAGAGAAAATGTTGAAAAGTTGAAATGAGACAAGTTTTACAATCACAACACGGGCGAAACATCGCCAGATAGCCTCCTCGGTTGAGGAAGCTGAGAAATTGTTAGGTTTCTCAACATGTATTTTAGAGACAGTATAAAAATTTTTTTTATTTGCACCGATGTTTCGATCAATATAATGCAAGAGAGATGTAGCTCCAAGTTCTTGGATCAAGAGCCCTTCACCAGCATCAAGGTACCCCCATTGAAGATGTCATTATTTTTGTGTTTGAGCCAGTGCCTGTTGTCCTTGTTTAAGAGCGTTGCGCCCGTCCTTGCCCGTGTTTAAGAACAGTGTTCCCGTCCTTGCAATTTGTTCTTAATAACAGTGTTCCGTGCTTGTGATTTTTCGCTTCATGGGATGTGTTCTGCCTGTGATTTGTGTAGTATCCTAACCAAAAACATTCCAACCACAATCGTGAATCCTAAAGTCCCTTCCAACCACACTCGCGAGTTCTAAAGTCCCTTCCAACCACACTCGCGAGTTCTAAAGTCCCTTCCAACCACAATCAGACCCACTACCACACAAGTAAAGGTGGAACCATGCCATCGACCAGAGGGCACTAACCTATAATATCTTTTCTCTGCTTGTAGAATGAACGTACAGAAGAACGCGTACTTATCTATGGTTTGTTCTCTCTTCCAGCTAATATGAACGTGCACAAGAACGGCTACTAACTTCCTGTTGTCTCTCCCCGGCAGCTTGTAACATGAACGTGCACAAGAGGTGCACAGAGAGCGTGCCCAACCTATGTGGGTGTGACCACACTGAGAGGAGAGGAAGGGTAGAGCTGGTCATCAGCTGCCAGGGTAACAAACTGACTGCTGAAGGTAAGTCTCCATCTGGGCGAAACGCCGGCAACAGCACCAAGTCTTTAACCATGTTTCGCTCTCCCTGAGCGAAACGTTGTAGTGAACGCTAACGTTTTGTAGTTTTTTGTATTTATTTTTTTTATGAATTCCTTGTTTTTTTTTCTCTGAGCACTTTAAGTGCGTGATTGAAGTTCCTCTTGATCTGAGTCACCTGTGGGTACTCCTGCAACTCACCTGTGGGTACTCCTGCAAGTCACCTGTGGGTACTCCTGCAAGTCACCTGTGGGTACTCCTGCAAGTCACCTGTGGGTACTCCTGCAAGTCACCTGTGGGTACTCCTGCAAGTCACCTGTGGGTACTCCTGCAAGTCACCTGTGGGTACTCCTGCAAGTCACCTGTGGGTACTCCTGCAAGTCACCTGTGGGTACTCCTGCAAGTCACCTGTGGGTACTCCTGCAAGTCACCTGTGGGTACTCCTGCAAGTCACCTGTGGGTACTCCTGCAAGTCACCTGTGGGTACTCCTGCAAGTCACCTGTGGGTACTCCTGCAAGTCACCTGTGGGTACTCCTGCAAGTCACCTGTGGGTACTCCTGCAAGTCACCTGTGGGTACTCCTGCAAGTCACCTGTGGGTACTCCTGCAAGTCACCTGTGGGTACTCCTGCAAGTCGTCTGTGGGAACGCCTTCCAATCGCCTGTGAGAATTTCCAATCACCTGTGGGAACGCCTTCCAATCACGTGTGAGAACTTCCAATCACCTGTGGGAACTCCTTCCAATCACCTGTGGGAACTCCCAGACACATTTGGGATCTTCATTTAAATGTTCCCTTGCAAATGCTGAACACACGTTCCACTAACAAAGACTAATGTGAGGCCAAAGGCAGAAGACTTCACAGAAAGTTACTGAACTACTTTACAGACCACACTGACTACAGACCACAGATGACAGAACGAGGAAGATATAATAAACAAAGTCGCCTCGAGAGAAGAAACAGAGGTAATTCAGATGTCAACAAAGTGTCAGTGATCCAGGGAAGATAACATGATCATCAACGGTAACAGATTGCAACTTATTAGATGTGGTAAGAAAGATGGTATAGAATACCCACAAGTTGATGTGCAACACTTGGGTATGTTCTGAAGATTTTTCGCCAACAAATGGCTTTATCAATCCAAGACTAAGGTGGTGAACACCAAGATTTAGGGACTGATAACCTCGTTATTATCGTGTTGAATTGATAAAACCACTGGTTGGCGAAACGTCTTCAGGATAAGGATACCCAGTTGCTGCACGTGTCTTATTCATCAAGCACAAAGATATCGAAAAAGTGGACGAGATAAAAGCCGGCAGATCACGCTATTTTGAAAGGAATACAGAAGATCCGGGAAACATTGTCAGATGATCTTAAGTTTATAAAATAAACGAAGTTACATTTATGAAGTTGAAAAATGGCTGCCTGGGTTGTATGAATCTTCAAAATGGCTGCCTGGGTTGTATGAACCTTCAAAATGGCTGCCTGGGTTGTATGAACCTTCAAAATGGCTGCCTGGGTTGTATGAACCTTCAAAATGGCTGCCTGGGTTGTATGAACCTTCAAAATGGCTGCCTGGGTTGTATGAACCTTCAAAATGGCTGCCTGGGTTGTATGAACCTTCAAAATGGCTGCCTGGGTTGTATGAACCTTCAAAATGGCTGCCTGGGTTGTATGAACCTTCAAAATGGCTGCCTGGGTTGTATGAACCTTCAAAATGGCTGCCTGGGTTGTATGAACCTTCAAAATGGCTGCCTGGGTTGTATGAACCTTCAAAATGGCTGCCTGGGTTGTATGAACCTTCAAAATGGCTGCCTGGGTTGTATGAACCTTCAAAATGGCTGCCTGGGTTGTATGAACCTTCAAAATGGCTGCCTGGGTTGTATGAACCTTCAAAATGGCTGCCTGGGTTGTATGAACCTTCAAAATGGCTGCCTGGGTTGTATGAACCTTCAAAATGGCTGCCTGGGTTGTATGAACCTTCAAAATGGCTGCCTGGGTTGTATGAACCTTCAAAATGGCTGCCTGGGTTGTATGAACCTTCAAAATGGCTGCCTGGGTTGTATGAACCTTCAAAATGGCTGCCTGGGTTGTATGAACCTTCAAAATGGCTGCCTGGGTTGTATGAACCTTCAAAATGGCTGCCTGGGTTGTATGAACCTTCAAAATGGCTGCCTGGGTTGTATGAACCTTCAAAATGGCTGCCTGGGTTGTATGAACCTTCAAAATGGCTGCCTGGGTTGTATGAACCTTCAAAATGGCTGCCTGGGTTGTATGAACCTTCAAAATGGCTGCCTGGGTTGTATGAACCTTCAAAATGGCTGCCTGGGTTGTATGAATCTTCAAAATGGCTGCCTGGGTTGTATGAACCTTCAAAATGGCTGCCTGGGTTGTATGAACCTTCAAAATGGCTGCCTGGGTTGTATGAACCTTCAAAATGGCTGCCTGGGTTGTATGAACCTTCAAAATGGCTGCCTGGGTTGTATGAACCTTCAAAATGGCTGCCTGGGTTGTATGAACCTTCAAAATGGCTGCCTGGGTTGTATGAACCTTCAAAATGGCTGCCTGGGTTGTATGAACCTTCAAAACAAGTGAAGTCACGCCAGTAATTATTTTTTCCAGATCACTTTTGTTTACACGTCTGGAATGTTATCCTGTGCTCACACGTCTGGAATGTTATCCTGTGCTCACACGTCTGGAATGTTATCCTGTGCTCACACGTCTGGAATATTATCCTGTGCTCACACGTCTGGAATATTATCCTGTGCTCACACGTCTGGAATGTTATCCTGTGCTCACACGTCTGGAATATTATCCTGTGCTCACACGTCTGGAATATTATCCTGTGCTCACACGTCTGGAATGTTATCCTGTGCTCACACGTCTGGAATGTTATCCTGTGCTCACACGTCTGGAATATTATCCTGTGCTCACACGTCTGGAATGTTATCCTGTGCTAACACGTCTGGAATGTTATCCTGTGCTCACACGTCTGGAATGTTATCCTGTGCTCACACGTCTGGAATATTATCCTGTGCTCACACGTCTGGAATATTATCCTGTGCTCACACGTCTGGAATATTATCCTGTGTTGACAGGGTCATTCAGGCAGGAGTGCTGTCTAAGCTACAGATATATGCTGGTCATTTATTGCCCATGCTTAACAGTTCACAAACGGGCGAAATTATTTACAAACATTATCTCTCAGTCCACAGCAGGATTCCAACCTGCAAACTCGGCATTAGAGTACACAGTACTTTATCCACACAACTACACTCCAGAAGGCTGTGTGGATAAAGTACTTTGTACTCTGATGCCGAGTTGGTAGGTTCGAATCCTTCTGTGAGCTGGAGATTATTGCCCATAAAGTCTCGACAAAATGCTTAGTGCCGGACACATCTCGAGGCACTTGCAATGTACTCTTTGGAATAGAGAGGATAAAGATGCAATACTGCGTCGTGAGAGACTCGAACCCAGGCATCTAGGTCAACATGGAGTCGGAAGCCAAGAGCCTGAGGCCTTATCCACTGCTCCACTATGTTTAGTTACGTTAGGTGGTCAGCAGGAACGTTGGTTGTGTCCTCCTAGCACCAAAAACATTCTGGGTGGTTGTGTGGTCCTGCGGGCAGCTATTAACAACAGCCTGGTTGACTAGGCTGTCAAGGCAGGAGTGTGGCCTCAGGCTTGGCAGCTAGGGTACAACCACGGTGGAAACCAGTCACAGGTATGATACAGGTATCTTTCTCTTCCTCTCTTACATTACACTCTTCCTCTCACATTATCTATATTTGTTTCGTCTCTAGTTCATAATTTTCTTTGTTCTTATTTCTCTTCCCCCTCGTTTCTTTCTCTTTCCCTACTCTTCTTCTTTCCCTGTTCTTCTTCTTTCCCTGTTCTTCTTCTCCCCTGTTCTTCTTCTCCCTGTTCTTCTTCTCCCCCTGTTCTTCTTCTCCCCCTGCTCCTCTTCTCCCCCTGCTCCTCTTCTCCCCCTGCTCCTCTTCTCCCCCTGCTCCTCTTCTCACCCTGCTCCTCTTCTCCCCCTGCTCCTCTTCTCCCCCTGCTCCTCTTCTCCCCCTGCTCCTCTTCTCCCCCTGCTCCTCTTCTCCCCCTGCTCCTCTTCTCCCCCTGCTCCTCTTCTCCCCCTGCTCCTCTTCTCCCCCTGCTCTGCCCTGTACAGCTCTGGCAGCTAATCAGTCTCCACTTACAACTGTAGAGGCCGACAGAAATTAATTCCTTCTTGGTAATGAGTACTCGAGCTGGATATGAGAGATAGAGAGAGATATAGAGAGAGATATAGAGAGAGATATAGAGAGAGATATAGAGAGAGATATAGAGAGAGATATAGAGAGAGATATAGAGAGAGATATAGAGAGAGATATAGAGAGAGATATAGAGAGAGATATAGAGAGATAGAGAGATAGAGAGATAGAGAGATAGAGAGATAGAGAGATAGAGAGATAGAGAGATAGAGAGAGATAGAGAGAGATAGAGAGAGATAGAGAGAGATAGAGAGAGATAGAGAGAGATAGAGAGAGAGATAGAGAGAGAGATAGAGAGAGATAGAGAGAGAGAGAGAGATATAGAGATAGAGAGAGAGATATAGAGATAGAGAGAGATATATAGAGATAGAGAGAGATATATAGAGATAGAGAGAGATATATAGAGATAGAGAGAGATATATAGAGATAGAGAGAGATATATAGAGATAGAGAGAGATATATAGAGATAGAGAGAGATATATAGAGATATAGATAGATGGGTGGGTGGGTGTGAGGCAGGAGGAGTGAGGAACGTGCGTGAGTGTGTGTTTCCTGAGCGTTGAGCTCTGCTAATCTAAGTACTTGTTAAACACACACACACACACACACACACACACACACACACACACACACACACACACACACACACACACACACACACACACACTCTCACTCACACTCTCACTCACTCTCATTCTCACTCTCACACACTCTCTCTCTCACTCTCACTCTGGCGTTGTCCTCACTTCCTCTTTCCTCTCGCTCCCTCTTTCCTCTCATAGGCAACAGTTAGGTATCTTTAATCCGAAACGTTTCGCCTACACAGTAGACTTCTTCAGTCGAGTACAGAAAGTAGACAGGAGCAGTAGAGATGTGAAGACGATGTAATCAGTCCTTCACCCTTGAAGTCGAAGAATTAAGGTTGTCAGTCCCTCAGCCTGGAGAAGCGTCCTGTTCCACACTCTGAAACAATATTTGTGTCTGTCTTACCAACCTGTCGGTATTATATACCATTTTGATATTCACTCTTTCCTCTCACACCGTCTTTAAGGAATCCTAAACTAAGGTGACACAGACTAAAGACAAGACGTGTTAAGGAAGAAGGTTGCAGAATGTCTTAACATCCCGACACAGACTAAAGACAAGACGTGTTAAGGAAGAAGGTTGCAGAATGTCTTAACATCCCACAAACTGTCTCCAGCCAGTAAAGAAACTCTGCCATGATAAACGAGTCATAAAACAGAAAATAAAATATTGATGGCGGTCACCAGGAGAGCCAAAGAAAACAAAAATCATATCGAAATATGGCTGAGCTGAATTTTTTTTTTTTTACATACGCGAAAATCCGGTTCCAGTATCGGTCCTGTACTCCAAGGAGGTTCACGGACAGCTATCCCACACGTAGGTAGTTGATGACGACGTTTCGGTCACACTAACACACGAAGGTGCGGGTGCCAGCTTATGTATAGGAGAGGAGAGACAGGGACGGGAAAGAGACAGAAATCCTGGGAGAGCACTATGAATCAATACTAGGATAAGACGGGTTATACCACCTTTGGTAAGCTGCTTCACGGGGTAATCAGGATAATATCTCTCTAAATATAGAGCCGAGTATTTACTAGTCTTGTTTACAGAGTCAAGTGTGGAGGTAGTAATACCGAGGCTGTTACACAGCAGTGAGCATCGCACAGCAGCGATGGCAAGTTGATGGAAAGTGGACAAGAGGAAGAGCAAGTAGAAGAGAGAGGATGAGTGGTAACTGAGGGGAAGGAGAGGGAATTGGGGGGAAGAATGGGAACTGTCTGATAAACTATTTAAATTGATGTCAATTGAATATATCTTACTAAGTTAGTGTTTACTCTGACATCTGTCGCTAAATCTTGTTAGTTAACAGATAATATTGATGTTAATATGCATCTTTCCTCATGTTTTAAATTAAACAGTAACTTTGAATTACTGTGAACCTTTATATTAAATATTTATCACCGTGTTGTGGAATTAACTGTTAAATTTAACTTTGACGGTTTGTGACGGTTATCTGATGAACTCAACACTAAAACTATAACGGTGTTTCAAAAGCATGAACCCAATTTCAAAGCATTATGTACTGAAATTGGGTCCATATATTTCAAACGCCGTGTAATATAACATCTCTTTGACACACCCTGTAATATAACATCTCTTTGACACACCCTGTAATATAACATCTCTTTGACACACCCTGTAATATAACACATTTTTGAAACACCCTGTAATATAACAACTCTTTGAAACGCCCTGTAATATAACATTTCTGTTCGGAATGTTAGTTAACGGCGGCTCACTGTTTTCCTACCATTCAGTTGATGCCGTATTCTATTTAGTAACAGTAACAATCTCTATGCTAATGCTGCTGAAGGTGATTCGAACCCATGGCACGACAGACCTTAAACTAGCGGGCCAGTCACTGAGGTTCCACAAAGAGTATCACTGCCATTTTTGTTTAGTCCTAGATGGTGGGGAGGGTAACTGGGGTTTTTTTTTTTTAAGATACTTCCATCCTTCCAGCCATTGTTAACTGATAAGACATTGAACATATAAATTAAAATTAAATTGTGACTCAATCTTCAACTTGTCGGTTTTTCAAACCATTCATCAAAATTGTGACTTATCGTGTTGTATTTTTATCATCGCTCTATTGTTGTATGTTTTGTTATTATATTAACCATAAGTAAACATCATCGATCCACTAAAACACACACACACACACACACACACACACACACACACACACACACACACACACACACACACACACACACACACACACACACACACACACACACACACACACGCGCGCCCGCCCGCGCGCATATAAAGCTACTCCAACTGAAGAAATATCTAATGGTAATAATCATAACCATAATTTTTAAAGAGGTGAACAGGTAAGCCAGCGGAAGGCCTCAGTCAGATGACCAAAAGCTCCAGCTGTGGGTTATCATATTTCTAAGGCCCGCGTCAGGAAACACTTGTCCTGTTTCCTGACAAACCTTACCTAACTTAACTTACTCCACCTAGTCTGTAAAACACTAAACATCAGCAAAATCTCCAATATATCTCTCGAAATCACCAGTATCTCTTTAAATCACCACTGTATCTCTAAAACCACCACTATATTTAACTCTCTATCTCTCAAAATCACAACTGTATATATCTAAATCACTATATCTCTCTAAAATCACAACTATGTCTGTTTAAATCACCAGTATATATCTCAGCGTTGGCCAAGCTTCCTTAAATATTTGTTGTGTCGTTCAACAGTTCGCGGGGCCAAGAATCTCATTCCCATGGATCCTAACGGCCTCTCCGATCCTTACATCAAAATGAAGCTTATCCCAGGCACTGACAACATGAAGATGAAAACTAAGACGATCAAATCCACTCTCAACCCTGTGTGGAATGAAACTCTTACTTGGTGAGTATTTTTGCAACCGCTCAGTTGGCACATTGTGAGCTGGAGCGAAGTGGCGAACTGCTGGCACTGGCGGAGAAGAGACGTAGGTTGCAGAACAAACTGTCAATTGTGATAGCGTTTTCCGCTCTTTGGTAATACTGCTGTATCCGTGTAGGTTTATCATGGCGTGTTCAAGCTCCACACACAGTGAAGTGTTCCAGTGTTTGTTCTACAGCCTATAGCTTTTCTAAGAAATGTTAGTCCACGCCAGCCTACTTCACAACACCCAGGTACCTATTTAATACAAGGTGGAGAACAGTACCAAGTGTGGAGATAGTTGCCCATATATGCTTAGGTTGTAGACCGAAAGCACTACCCCCTGAGTATAAAGCACCTAAGGGAGAGAGAGAAGAGAGAGAGAGAGAGAGAGAGAGAGAGAGAGAGAGAGAGAGAGTGAGAGAGAGAGAGAGTGAGAGAGAGTGAGAGTGAGAGAGAGTGAGAGAGAGTGAGAGAGAGTGAGTGAGAGTGAGTGAGAGTGAGTGAGAGTGAGTGAGAGTGAGTGAGAGTGAGTGAGAGTGAGTGAGAGTGAGTGAGAGTGAGAGTGAGTGAGAGTGAGTGAGAGTGAGTGAGAGTGAGTAGATGAGTAGAGTGAGTGAGTGAAGTGAGTGAGAGTGAGTGAGTGAGAGTGAGTGAGAGTGAGTGAGAGTGAGTGAGAGTGAGTGAGAGTGAGTAGAGTGAGTGGAGTGAGGTGAGTGATGGAGTGAGTGAGAGTGAGTGAGAGTGAGTGAGAGTGAGTGAGAGTGAGTGAGAGTGAGTGAGAGTGGTGAGTGAGATGATGAGTGAGAGTGAGTGTGAGTGATAGAGTGAGTGAGTGAGTGAGAGTGAGTGAGTGAGTGAGAGTGAGTGAGAGTGAGTGAGAGTGAGTGAGTGAGTGAATATTTTTATAACCACGGTAAATTCTTTTTTTTCAGTTATCGTGTCTACATGTGCATGTTGGTAGTGCTGGGATCAGACTGCCAACATGCATATGTAGACTTAACCAGCTGGCAGTACCAGTGGGTCAAGTCTACGGTGTTCACAACCCGCGATTAACTAACAAATGACTTACTCTTCAGTGACTTAGGCCTATTTTTAAGGCTTATATTTAATTGCTTAACAAACAAATGACTATAGTTAATTGTTATAAATATGACGTATCTATCTTGACTTTCGTGTGTGTGTGTGTGTGTGTGTGTGTGTGTGTAATAATATATATATATATATATATATATATATATATATATATTATATATATATATATATATATATATATATATATATATAATGCAAGGAATTCGCGAGAGCAGGCGAAATATACACAAACAAGGCAGCTGTAAGCCTTCTCCCTGAAAGCTGGCTGCCTTGGATCAAACGTGTAGCGCATGCTACACGCCAAGGTATTGTCCAGTGTGGGTAGATTGGTAAAGCACTGCGTACCTTGTCCTAAGGTTCGTAGGTTCGAGTCTCATTCAGCCAGAGATCAGTGTTTATATATTATATATATATATATATATATATATATATATAATATATATATATATATATATATAATATATATATATAACATAATATATCAATATATAACGTACATACACATACATGTATGAGCCTTTTATAATAAAAGGTTCTAGAATGTAGAGTATCGCTCTGAGGTTAAAGTAGGATAAGAAAAAATGCTATAATTACAACCTTAAATTCACAATTAGTTTGTTCGGTCGTGAGTGACATAGTTGTAAAAACCATATAGCATCTGAGTGTTCGTAAATCAGACGAAGATTTGCAGTGTGCATGTTAAAACATTGACTGGTGCACCTGATGGTGTCAGCCGGAGACACCTAAGTTAAAAAACTTTAATCAAGGTGAAAGTAGCCTTTAGTTTGAGTTTACACCCAAACTGGTCTTCATTAAGTATCACGGTACCTTATGTCCCTCCGTGGGTGAAATATCGTTTTTTTTTCCCTCTGGTAAAGTGACTTTAAGTCGTCACTTATATTAGATGAAAATACACATTAAACAGTACATTTTTGTTATACAATGTTTACATTATTTTTGGGTGAAGAAAAACTCGTAAAACAGCGTTTCGCCCGAGGGGACTTTTTTTTTAGTATTTCCTCGAGAGAAACGTTATAAAGACCCAGCTGTTTTTTTCCTCTCTTCGTCACTGCCTTTAATGCCGCGCCAGTCTGACAACTACCAGTACCAGTGAGACACTCTTGTTTCCTCCCTGATGACAGCGAGCTGAAGCCTGAGGACAAGGACCGCCGCCTGCTGGTGGAGTGCTGGGACTGGGACCGCACTTCGCGCAACGACTTCATGGGCTCCATGTCCTTCGGCATCAGCGAGATCATCAAGTCTCCCATGGTCGGCTGGTTCAAGTTCCTGACGGAGGACGAGGGGGAGTTCTACAATGTGCCGTGTCCTCCTGAAGGCACGGACATCTCCGCACTCAAGGAGAAGTTTAGG